TCCTGAGAGCCTGAGGAAAGGATCTGACCCAGTGTCTCCTGGTTGTCTCAGTTGGAGAGCAAACGGGACGCCTTCTCGCCAGTGCTGCTGCAGTTCTGTACAGACCCTCGCAACCCCATCACCGTCATCAGGGGCCTGGCTGGCTCACTTCGGCTCAGTGAGTTTGGGGGGGGGGGGTATGCAGAAGGCCGTGAGGATGTGGTATGTGGACTCTTTGAGAACCGCCCCTGTGCTTGCAGACTTGCAGACTTGCCACAGTGACCCTCATACTCAGTCATGTACAGGCAGTGTTTGAGAAGTGCTCTGTGGTGTGCCAGCCAGCCTTGAGGTCTTCTCATCTGTCATTTCTGTCCCCAGTAGACACGGACTGGAAGGTGGCTCTCAGGAGTGATTAGAGTCACTTCTGATTGTCTTAGTGATTAGGAATGAAATGAGCCGGGCAGTGGTGGCGCACACCTTTGATCCCAGTACTTGAGAGACAGAGGCAAGCAGATCTCTGTGAGTTCAAGGACAGCCAGGGCTACACAGAAAAACCCTGTCTGCAAAGACCATAAACAAAACAAATGAAAAGAATGGATCATAGACTACTTGGTTTGGCTTTTTTCTTTTTCAATCTTTTATGGTGCAAAATTTTAAACCAGAGGAAGCTATATAAATGTAGGGTCAGTCTTGTTTCCTTTCTACCCTTACATTTCTCCTCTCACTGAGTGATTTGAGGGACATTTCAGGCTTAGCTAAGTCTTTCCCTTGTTCCAGTGACCGCTTGCTATTCACTGATTGCCTACTATGCGGCCATAAGCACATCTGAGGCTTCTTGTTGAGAGGCTGAGCCTGAAGTTGGAGAAAGGGGCTGGGGAAGGACCCACAGAAGTCAGCCTTGACGGCTTCCTGGGGCTGGGATTCTTGTCGATTCTTTGGTGCCGAGTTCTGCCATGTCTGTGTCCACCTCCTCAGAGGCCTGGCCAGTTAGAAGGGAAAGGATGAGCTGGGCGTCCTGTCCTGACGGACATCCCTTTGACACTCCCTTACAGACTTAGGCCTTTTCTCCACCAAGACCCTGGTGGAAGCAAGCGGCGAGCACACAGTGGAGGTCCGCACCCAAGTGCAGCAGCCCTCAGATGAGAACTGGGACCTGACGGGCACGAGACAGATCTGGCCCTGCGAGAGCTCCCGCTCACACACCACCATCGCCAAGTACGCGCAGTACCAGGCATCCTCCTTCCAGGAGTCGCTGCAGGTGAGGATCATGCCCCATTGGTGACGGGTGCTGGGGTCTGACTCGAGTGGGCCTCAGGAGGTCACTGACCCAGACCTGCCCACTCTCTGACCAAGCAGGAGGAGAAGGAGAGTGAGGATGAAGAGTCGGAGGAACCAGACAGCACCACGGGGACCCCTCCCAGGTAAAGTAGAATTCCTTCCGTCCAGTCTGGCTTTGCTCTTCTGCTCCCTTGGTTCGCCAACAGCCTCTCTGTGTTTTTGCCCCAGCAGCAGTGCACCGGACCCCAAGAACCATCATATCATCAAGTTTGGCACTAACATCGACCTGTCTGATGCCAAGAGGTCGGTGAGGCTGGACCAGTGAAGCTGGGATGAAACCCTGCTAAACGCTGAGATACCCTCTTACGATGTTGGCATTCTTGTGTTCCCAGGTGGAAGCCCCAACTACAGGAGCTGCTGAAGCTGCCTGCCTTCATGCGAGTAACATCCACAGGCAACATGCTCAGCCATGTGGGCCACACCATCTTGGGCATGAACACCGTGCAGCTATATATGAAGGTCCCTGGCAGCCGAACGCCAGGTGTGCTTCTCACCCTGAGCACGGTGCGGGAAGTGCGCACTCAGTGCTTAGCTGGTAGCCAATGAGGGCAAAGGGTGGCTGCCAGCTTGCCTGAGACAGTCCATGACGTTCTATCTCCCTCTGCAGGCCACCAAGAGAATAACAATTTCTGCTCTGTCAATATCAACATTGGCCCCGGGGACTGTGAGTGGTTCGCAGTACACGAGCACTATTGGGAGACCATCAGCGCCTTCTGCGATCGGTGCGCACCGCCCCCTTGCTAGTCACCCCACCACAATCGGGTCCTTGGCTCTGTTACTTGACCCTGTCCGTGGCTGTTCATTCCACAGGCATGGTGTGGACTACTTGACTGGTTCCTGGTGGCCAATCTTGGATGACCTCTATGCGTCCAATATTCCTGTTTACCGCTTCGTGCAGCGCCCTGGGGACCTTGTGTGGATTAATGCAGGGACTGTGCATTGGGTGCAGGCTACTGGCTGGTGCAACAACATTGCTTGGAACGTGGGACCTCTCACCGGTGAGACGGTGGGGTCCGGTCATCACGGGACAGTGGGGAGTGGGCCCTGCTGGGGAGAGGTGGCACGGGGGGGGGGGCGGGCTCGTGGAGAACCCTTAGTGACCTTCTCCGGCCTGCAGCCTATCAGTACCAGCTGGCCCTGGAGCGCTACGAATGGAACGAGGTGAAGAACGTCAAGTCCATCGTGCCCATGATTCACGTGTCCTGGAATGTAGCTCGAACGGTCAAAATCAGCGATCCGGACCTGTTCAAGATGATCAAGTGAGGCCCGTTTGGCTAACAGCCACCACCACCTGACTTCTTTCCTACCCTTGTTCTCCTCATTCTTTACCTGTCTTCATCCACATCTGCAGCGTGTTCACAGAAGTCACTGTGCTGAGGAGCTCCACAAAACCCCTACTCTCATCTCACAGCCTTTGTTTACTGTGGTACACACACACACACACACACACACACTTGAAGAAATGTCAAATGTGATGTACTCAAGACAGGAAAAGCAACTCAGAAGTGAAAGGGGAGGGAGGGCTGCCCAGGGAAATTGGTAGAGCTAAGGTCTTGGGGGCTCAGCCCGTTCTCCCCCCTTCCCCCAGCCTTGGCACATCTCCTGGAGACTTGTCTCGATACCACCTTTGGCTCTTCCCCAGGTTCTGCCTCTTGCAGTCAATGAAGCACTGCCAGGTGCAGCGGGAGAGCTTGGTGCGGGCCGGTAAGAAAATCGCTTACCAAGGCCGCGTCAAGGACGAGCCTGCCTACTACTGCAACGAATGCGATGTAAGTACAAAGCGCTTGGGCTCCCCGCGGTCCCCAAGGTGCCGACAGTAGGCCGCTGTCCTGCTGACAGCCCCTTCCCTGGCTAGGTGGAGGTGTTCAACATCCTGTTCGTTACGAGTGAGAACGGCAGCCGAAACACGTACCTGGTGCACTGCGAGGGCTGTGCGCGCCGTCGCAGCGCGGGCCTACAGGGCGTGGTGGTGCTAGAGCAGTACCGCACCGAGGAGCTAGCGCAGGCCTACGACGCCTTCACGCTGGTGAGAGCCCCGGGACTCCCTAAGGGGCGGGGGAGCGGCCTGGCCACACCCGCCCGCCACTGCCATCACTGAAGCTGCTTTGCTTTCTTTCCGCAGGCTCCAGCCAGTACGTCGCGATGAGGCCGGATGCCCCGCTCGCCCGCCCACCCACGCAGGGCGCGGCGGGGCCACCAGCACACGCCTGGGCTGGACCTAGGTCCCGCCTCTGGCCCGGAAGGGGGTCGGGCCCAGCCCTTCCACCCTTATTGGCAGCTCCCCTCACTTAATTTATTAAGAAAAATTTTTTTTTAACAAATACGAGGAAAAAAAGGAAAAAAAAAATGGGAGACGGGGAGGGGGCTGGCAGCCCCTCGCCCACCAGCGCCTCCCCTCACCGACTTTGGCCTTTCTAGCAACAGACACAAGGACCAGGCTCCGGCGGCGGCGGGGGTCACATACGGGTTCCCTCAAGCCTGCCCGCCGCACGCCCGCACGCCGCACGCCCGCCCGCCGGCAGACGTTCGCGGCTCGTTGTGTACATAGACATTCGGCAGCCGAGGTTTTTAATGAGATTCTTTCTATGGGCTTTACCCCTCCCCCAGGCCCTCCTTTTTTACTCCCAATGCTAGCTGTGATCCCTGTATATGTTTGTTTATTCATTTGATTATGGTTTGTATTTTTGTTCCTTTTTTGTTTCTGTTTTTTAATTTATAACAGTCCCACTCACCTCTATTTATTCATTTTTTTTTTTTTGGGAAAACCCAACCTCCTGCACCCCCAAGCCATCCCTCCTGCCTCTTTGGGAGGCCTGCTTTTGGGTTCTCCTTGCGCCCCAGTATATATGTCCGGGCTTGGCCCGTCGGTCTCCGTCCGCCCGCGGCTCCAGCTGGGCTCTCATGGTGCTCAAACCCGCTCCCCTCCCCTACGTCCTGCACTTTCTTGGACCAGTACCCCCACTCCCGACCCGACCCCAACCCCACCTGAGGGTGAGCGACTCCTGTACTGTAGGGAAGAAGTGGGAACTGAAATGGTATTTTGTAAAAAAAAAAAAAAAAATTAAATAAATAAATAAAATAAAAAAAATAAAAGTTTTAAAGAAAGAACTATGAGGAAAAGAAACCCTGTCCTCCCCAGCCTCGGCCAATTTAAAAAACATTGGACACCTCTACCATCACCCCCCCCCTTTTTTTTAAGGCGTGAAATAGCCCAGGGCAGGGACACCCTGGGGTGAGTTTCTCTGGGGCTTTATTTTCATTTTCTTAGTTTCTTCTCCCGCTGGGGCTGCGGAGGGGTGGGGGGGTTTACAGTCCCGCCCCCTCGCACTGCACTGTCTCTCTGCCCCAGGGGCAGAGGGGTCTTCCCAACCCTACCCTATTTTCGGTGACTTTTGTGTGAGAATATTAATATTAAAAATAAAAGCAGGAAAAAAGAGACCCATGTGTTTTGATGATGGCTGTAAAGAGTACCGGTTGAAGGGCCGGGAATTGATGGATTGATGGGAGGGCAGCGCAGACCCTGGCGGTGGCGAGCCCCTCCCCGGAGGCGCCTGTGGAATGTCCAGAGCCGAGGTCTGCTCCTGGGATGAGGATGCCTAATCCTGGAGCTGCATTCCAGGATAAGGTAGTTGGGGGTGGGGTGGAGTGGGGGAGAGGCTGCACCGGGGGAGGGGCAGGAAAGAGGGCTATAAGGGCCGCAGCCGTGCGGGGCGGGAACCAGCCAAGCCATGGCGGAGGTCCCAGGAGCCCAACGCTCGGTTCTTGCTGGCGGCCCAGAGCCCCGGGATCCCTTGGACTGCTGGGCCTGTGCAGTGCTAGTAACGGCTCAGAATCTGTTGGTGGCTGTCTTCAATCTTCTCCTGCTGGCATTAGTCCTGGGGACCATCTTGCTACCCGCTGTCACCATGTTGGGCTTCGGCTTTCTCTGCCACTCTCAGGTAAGCATGGGCCCCAAGGGGTATGCGTGTGTGGTGATGGTAATGGGGTGTCTGAGCTACAACTTCCCGACCTGGGATGTTTCCCTCAGGGGCAGAGTGTGACCCAGAGTCTGACGTCTCTTATCTGCACAGTTCCTGCGCTCCCAGGCACCCCCTTGCACCGCCCATCTGAGGGACCCAGGCTTCACCGCCCTGTTGGTCACTGGATTCCTGCTGCTGGTACCGCTGCTTGTGCTTGCCTTGGCCACCTACCGCCGCCTCTGCCTGCGTCTCCGCCTAGCCGACTGCCTAGTACCCTACAGCCGTGCCCTCTACAGGCGCCGGCGCATCCCACAGCCGAAGCAAATCCCGGCCTCACCAGGGTCCCGAGCTGTTCCCACACCGGGAAAGGTTTGGGTTTGAGGTGCGTTGAGTCAAGAATTCTGTCGATTGTCCTCCTCCTGGACGCGGAAGGACTTGAAGCAAGCTCAGGGGTATTCTGCCTTATCCTGCTCCTTACCATTGCCCGAGTCAGGTTCTAGTATCCCTTTGATGGAACATCACTACCTGTGGATCCAATGCTGGCGAAAATTCCCATGCCCCAGAACATCTCACTTGAATCCTGAACGTTTGGGCTGGACCCTGCACATCTTCTCTCTCTCCCCTAGTGGAAATAGGAGAGCTGAACTTTGTGCCTTCCTTAGCTGGTGCAGCTCCTCTAATATTTACGGGACTGAGGGACAACGCTGGAGAAGGAACCATCACAAATAATAAAGAATTTATGAAATAAATGTGCTCTGTGAATACAGGGGTGGCTTATATACAGTAGTCCCTGCCCAGGGCTCAGGAGTAGGAAACAAATCCCTGAGACTACAAATAGGCAGACCAGAGCATCCTCCAGCATCCTGCCTTTCCTTATCGCCTTAGTCCGTTCTTCCTGGTTAGACCCCAGAGTTCTGACCCTGACCCCAAAGCCACTTCTCCATTAATAGCGCGGAGGGGGGCCTTGCTTCAGCTGCCTACCCAGCTCTCCTTGGGGACCCGAGCCCGTTCTCTGACCCCAGCTTAAAGGAACTAAGTGTTGCCAGGCCGGGGTGGGAAACAATGGGTCTTCCGGAGCAGGATGACACCCCCTCCTGCTACAATCTGAAGCAGCCGCGTGGGAGGGAAGATGGAGGGGCCCACCCTAGGGCTTGTTGCCTTAAAACTCTTGAGCTCCCTTGGTACTCCCTGGGCATTAGGTTGAGAGGGAGGGTTGAGGAAGCCCCTGAACTTAGATAAACCTCTAAGGGTTATCGTTGCCCTGACATCGGACCTACACACAGACACGGGCCACTTTGGTCATAGGGTTTAATGGTCTCAAAGAGAAGTGCGATTGTGGTCAGAGATACGGGGCCCCCGCCAGGCTCTCCCTTTGGACTTCAATAGAAACGATGTGATGTCCTGGTACCATGGCCAGACCCAGCACACGGGGTTCTCCCGCAGAAAATGAATCTGGAAAAAAAGGTCAGAGCATCAGAACGGCAGGCAAGCATCGATCTCGCCCCGGAATACGAGGGGTGCAGTAAGGCCCGCAAAAGAAAGCCTTGCGGTGAGTTTACGCCGCATTCCCGAGGAGGTGTGTATTCCCTGGACACTGACCAGACGGCTTGAGGAACTCCTGCGCAGAGCCCAGGATGACATTACAGTCGCGATCAGTGCACAGGAAGCAGCCGACTAGTGTCCTTCCATCTGTCATACGAATGCGCATGGTCTTGTTGAGCAATGCCTCTAGTTGCTGACGGGCACGCGCAGCCGGTGAGTCCTCCTGTTCCCCGTCAGAGTCCTGCTAGGGCAGGACACGAATTCAGACGCGCGTACGCTCGGCTGCACGCCCGTAGAACTACAGCTCCCAGCAGCCCCCGGGCTTCAGGTGGTGCCGCGTGGGCTGCTGGGAACTGCAGTTCTCTTTTCTGTCCTTTCCACCCCGTTCCCTTCCCCGCCCGATGTCGCGGCCCGACTGCTCCTCCAGAACCCACGCCCACGCTAACCCCGGCGCTGGAGCTGCTCTGACGCCGACTGCAACAGCCATTCTCCTCTCGTAGCAGCATGGTTGGCCCAGCTCCGGCCATTGGCCCTAGGACCTCCTCTGGGCCTTAAACTTCCTAACAGCGTTTTGGGTCGGGGATTTAGATCTCGCGAGTGCTCCCAAGCTCTTCCCTTTCGTGAGATCACAACTCCTCCGCCGTCTCCTGGTCCGCCACTCCAGAGATCTCGCGAGAGTTTATTTCAGCCCGGGCTTATAGACGCCTACCAGGCTATTTCAAGAATATCGCGAGAACGTTACCTGAAATTTCTTAACCATCCTTTAGAAATGTCTGAAATTTGAAAAGCCTCTAGTCTGGTCTCCGCACCGTCTAAGTAACTTATGTAGCCTAGACTCCGATACCAATCGGATCTTCATGTTCTCTAAGAAACTCAACAACATGCTCGGTGCCGGATCAAGAATGTTTCCGGTGAACACGGGCAGCCCAAACCCCGCCCTGCTGACGCAGGGTTTAACCTCAGTGGACGGTGGCCGGAAAAGGACAATGGTTTCCATGTTAGCGACAAACGCACTCCAGGCAGCTCTCTAACTTGATAGTTGGAAGACGGCTGAGGAGCGAGGAAGTAGTCAGAGAGAGCTGCTGCCCCTTATAGAACAGGAGCCATGCCGCGCCGGGGCCTAGTGGCCGGGCCAGACTTTGACTATTTTAACCGTCGGTACTTCACGCCTTCGGAAGTAGCGGAACACAACCAGCCCGAAGACCTGTGGGTGTCTTACCTGGGATATGTGTACAATCTAACGCCGCTTGCACAGGAGTTTAAAGGTAAGGGGTACACGTGAGGGATGGACTGGGGAGCAGGTTTTGGCGCTTAGGTGACCGGCCTTTGACGGTCGCTGTTCCTTTTCAGGGAACCTACTGCTGAAACCCATCCTGGAAGTTGCAGGCCAGGACATTAGCCACTGGTTTGATCCGAAGACCAGGGACGTAAGTTCTGTTGGAATGTGGGGTTGGTGGAAGCGGCGCTGGAGAGCGGGGGAGGGGGGATAGGAGAGAGACGGCGGGAATAACCAGAACCCGACATAGTGACTGCTCCTATCCTCCTCTCTAAACTCTTCGCTTTTTAAAGATTCGCAAGCACATAGATCCGCTGACTGGTTGCTTGAGATACCGCACCCCGCGGGGTCGTTTCGTGCACGTCCCACCTCCTTTGCCTCGTTCAGACTGGGCTAATGATTTCGGGAAGCCCTGGTGGAAGGGGTCGAATTACCAGGTCGGGCGGCTGTCTGCCAAGACCCGGAACATCCGTATCATCAACACTCTTACGTCGCAGGAGCACACACTGCAGGTGAGACCTGGTGCCTGGGGACAGGCTAAGTGGGAACCAGAAATCATTTCTGGAAGCTGTGTTTTCTTCCTTTCACAGTACCATGACAGAGGAAAGCAAATGACCCAGCTTCCCAGGGTTGGCAATTCTAGGAGTATGTTTGGATTACAGCTACCACAGTCTCCTTCATAGGTCTAGGCCAGCATCTTAGTGATGGTGGTCCTTCGAAGGGCAGGTGTGCTGTTACAGACAGCAGTGATGGTGGTCCTTCTTAGGGCAGGTATGCTGTTACAGACAGCAGTGCTGGTGGTCTTTCGAAGGGCAGGTGTGCTGTTACAGACAGCAGTTGGACTTTTAGTCTACTCAGTCGCCAGTGAGGGACACTGGCTTTGACTCTATTGAGTCATTTGTTAGAAGTGATAGGACTCTGGTGTCTTGGTTGTATGCTGGAGCTTCAACTTTGATTCTCTGGGACTATGGGGTGTCTGAAGGGTGCTATCTGCTAATGGAGGCACTCTGATCCAAGCTATCTCATTTTGGGGGACCGATTCTCTTCTGGTATTCTCTCTAGTTTCCTTAGAGCAAATCCTAAAGGAGCTAGGCATAAAGGCCCTTCTCCTGGCCTTTGGAGAGTATGTGTTATGTACCATACAGAATTGTAGAGGTGAATACTTGTGTGTTCTCTAGGTGGGGGCTCTGGAATCAATGTGGGAAATCCTCCACCGCTATCTCCCCTATAATGCACATGCCGCCAGCTACACATGGAAATATAATGGGAAGAATCTGAACATGGATCATACCCTGGAAGAGAATGGGATCCGGGATGAAGACGACGAGTTTGACTCTCTTAACATGGATGGCACACTTCACACACCTGCAATACTGCTCTACTTCAACGATGACCTCACAGAGCTGTAGGAAAGGACATGTGTGTGCATGGAACTCAAGACATGTTTGAGTTTGCCTCTTTCTGTGCCTTGAGAAAAAGAGGTTTGGGTCTGTGAGGCCTGGGCCTAGACCTCTGTTGCCCCCTGGGAACTGGCCTGTGGTTCTTTCTGAAGTGTAAGAGCCCTTATCCCTAGCTCCTCTATGATTTGCTCAGAGAATATTGGTGGGAGGAATACTAGAGGAGAATTAATCCTTAGAAATGATAGGAAGAGAGCCACAGTCTCTCAGTTTGGAATGTGCAGAGGAGGTGGAGCTCAGGCAGAACTCTGATAGTAAGAGAAAACACACGGGCATGAAAGGATGGAAGATTTTTTTTTTTTTTTTTTGGCAAAGATGAGAACGAGATGTTTGCTGGAAGATGGGATTTACAAAGGCAGGATCCAGAAATTCCTATCACCAACTGTGGTTGGTGTGGTTGATTCTCTTTCTAAAGGTGGTTAGCAGTTGACAGCACAGGAAAAGTGAATGGCTGTCAGTTCATTCAGGATAGAAATTATGCTGAGAGTTTTATGCTTTTTAATACAGCTATCCTAGAAGGTGAATACTGGTAATGCTATGTCCTTAGTTTAGAAGGTTCAGGAGCACAGAACCACATTAGTAACCGAAGAGCCACAATGCGAATCCAGGCTCTTTTCCGTGTAAAGGGATATTCTCAGTAGCCTCACTCAATGCTAACATTTCTAATGGCTGCTCTCAACCCATGTGTTTGAAATGTCAGCTTGTCCTGTGATTGTTGCACAATGGGGAAATGTAGCCTATTGTGTAGTCAGCATTAACTCTGTTTGAAGGGAGTTGACTAGCAGAGCACTCTAGGGATAGAGGCAGGGAGGCTGAATTTCAGCCAAGCATTAGCTACTGAGGCTGCTTCTTTGTTAATATTATAGCACTTTCTGACTGTCCGGGGCAACAAGATAGATCTTTACTGACTCCAGGAGAAACCAGAATGGAGGAACGGCCCGTAAATCAGAACACTGTAGTGAGGGGTCCAAAAGGGAGCATGTTTCCCCTTTCACATTAACAGAAGGCAAGGAAGAGAAGGTTGACTTTGTAAGACGATGAGGGGGCTTGATGGGATCAGAGAGATGAGAGCTAAGGGAGGCAGACAACTCTCCTGGTGACTGGCTAGATTTGGTTCCCTTTATCCATAGCAGGTGAGGGGAATTAGGAATAACTGATAAATTGAACCAGGCACGGTGGCTTTAATCCTAGCACTGGGGAGGCAGAGGTAGGCAGATCTCTATGAGTTCAAGGCCAGCCTGGTCTACAGAGTTAGTTCTAGGACAGCCAGAGCTGTTACACAGTAAAATCGTTTCCAAACAACAACAACAACAAAAAAAAAACAAAAACAAGCAAAAAGAATAAGAGATGAATGGACTTCCCCACAGCAGTGAGCAAAAGTGAGTCAAGGAGACTGCCTCTTCCCAGGCTCGGTCTCCGGTTCCAGTGGAGGGTGATGTGACCTTCATGAGACCCTGGGTGGGTGCAGTGTTTTC